TCTTTTCAAAGTGGGGACTATTGTGAAGCTGGTGATTATGATGCAAAATCGGTCTTTTCATTTCTGGGCTGCGCACAAAGACCAATTACTATATATACAAGAGCCAGGGTCTGCCTTCTTTCACCGTGTTCGCTCGAGCGTGGGCCGAGAATAATAGCTGAAAAGTGGGCTGAGGATCTCAATTTTTACGGCATGTCTAGCCGCCTCCCGGCGCGAAGGGGTTAATTTGGATATGTCCAAGCCATTTCTACAGTATGCAGCCTTCAGAGACAGTTCACAAGACACATGCGTCCCTGGGGGTTTGCTCAGGGGAGAGGGAGAGGTTACCATTCCCTCTACCCTAAGTTCTGTCACTTTTGCTCAAGTCAGAGGAGCAAAATAGGCCAGGCAATCAGAGTGCAGGAAATCAGGACGAATCTTTGGCACATGTAGCAACCAATAAGGTTGCAGTTGTGATTTGCCCATCCTCGACAATAATGGTGACCTCTATATAATACACTGATCTTCTTGGCTCCCAAGGTAAGGTGTATTCGCTAAGTAAGTATTGTTGCTTAGCAACTTTGTGTCATAAAACCTATGGCTTGTACAATGTGCTAATTCTTGAATTAACTTTTTGAATTTTGCATCCAGGTGGACACTGAAGCTGTTGCTATGGCCAACCTGCTCTCTGAACGCCAGCGGAAGTACTCCAAGGTGGCGGAGCGGATTCAGAAGATCAACGAGATGTCCTTCACACTGCAGAAGGTGACCAAGAACCTCAATCAGCTCATCCCGCTGATGGAGAGGCTCAACAACGTCCTCCCTGAGGAGGAGCGACTGGAGCCTTTCACTATGCGCAAGGAGGCCCGGAGACCAGACCAGGTGAAGTCTGTGAAGGAACTGTGTTGAATTTGGTTTTTTGTTCCAAAGAGCTGCTGCAGAAAAAGGCCCTGGTTGGAAAATGTGGATGCGACTGGAAATAACATGTACCCTTATGTGAGCCACTGAGTGTGTAGCCATACCACTGTGCATTGCTGCATGTTTGACTTCCAGCCAACGTGTCGGAGCTGAACTAGCCCAAATACCATGTGACTACACTTGTCGTGGCCAAATCTTAACTTATTCTGGCTAAGCCTGTAAATTTGTCCAGTCCAGATAATCTGACTATAGTTATTGGCTTTGTGAAATTGGACTTGATTGTTTCAGAGTCAATTTTGTAGATCTGAACTGGGAGTGTGCTAAGCACAGATAGAATTTGTTTAGCAAAAAAAAAGGTTATCGGCAAAAAAGCCATGGTTTGTATATGCTTGTGACTGGTTCATTGCCAGTTTTTGCTTAGCAAATACAGTTGTCATGCGAGATTTTCTGCTTTGCAGCTCTGCGGTATTGGGTCCAAGATCTTGGTGGGTTCGAAATCAGTTTGATGGATAAAATCGCAGCTGGTTTGTTCTTGTCAGGGATGAAATGGACTGATGCCCCCAGTGTTTGGATTATAGTATGTATTATTGTGCAATTTGTTGGGAAAGTTTGGGCAATTTTAACCTCAAGTATCTATTTGTTGGTTGTTCGGCAAGCTGGTATCATTTGTCCTTGTCCAAAATAGGATCACCTTGTTAGTTGTGCTATGTGGATGGTTGCAACTTCACAGAACCTTCTGAGAAAACTACTGAACATTTTGTTGCTTCCAATGAAAGTGTAAAATGTGTCTTGTGTCATTTTGGCCAGGAAAACCATACATGAAGGATTTAGTTTGATATTGCAACGTAGTTCTTTCATGTTCTAGTCTCAGGGCAAACCTTTTCCAGCCAATAGAGGGTTTGCACGGCTGCCATCTTGCAGGCCAGGGCTTTTGTTCCACAGGGTTCACACAAAAGAGGTTTCCCTGTGGAACAAAAGAACTGCCCTGCAAGATGGCTAGCATGCAAAGTCTCTGTAGACTAGCTAACACTGGAACGTACTTACACATTTTGCACATGCAGACTTGAGATGACTAGACCTCTCTGTTTTTTGCCTACCATTGGCTGGTAAGCCGTGGCTGGTCTCCAGCCCAACAGCAGAGGTATAATGCACATTCCACAACATGTTAAGAAATCTCAAGTAGCTATCACAACACTGGATAATAAACAGTACTTCTGAATGCTACATCAAAGTATGCCCCTCTGTGAAGCAAATGTATATTTTGAGGCACAATCTACCACAAACCAAGGGTGACATTTCTGCAAACTAGGCCCACCCATACTTACTAGCAGCAGACAATGTGAAAGAATTACATGTATTTAGCCCTCTGTAATAGTGGTGGATTTCATGTGAATTCTGCCTGGTTCCTTGTTTCTTTGAAAAAAAAGTAATAAAACACGTGGTCACTGACTTGAAATTCCAATCATTTCCAGAGGTGAATTTAATACTAACTGCTCATTTTTTGCATGTTTTTAGAAATGCATGAACAAGATCAAACACACATTCGTATCAAATAACCGAAATTTACCTTTGGTAAATGTATCAGTATTTTAAATTTTTTTGCCATAATTGAAACAAGGCAAGAGAAGAAATTTCCAAGATTGCATCCAAGTCTCTTGTTTCTACTGAACCTCTAAAAAATGGTAAATTTAAAAGGGAAGAGGTGGTAAGCAAATATACAAATTAGCTAAGAAAAGACATTAATTTCAGAAATTGGATATTTAGAGAACACTGCAAAATTTCATTGTCAATCAAACGTCGACTTTGTGCATTTGTAGTGGAGTTGCAGTAGGTCAGTTTCATCCAAATGATCCAAGTGAACGTTTTTAAATTCCTAGCATCCAAGAAATTTATAAATTTCCCCATCAATCCCTCAAAGTTCTCAGCACAAAGCCGTGTCTTTGCTTTGACAGGAACAAGCTTAAATTGTTTCACCTTAACCCTAACAGTCCCAAATCCTCCAATTTCAATACGATTTTACATACACCCTAGGGGGTTAGGGTTAAGAAATGCATTAACAATGGCTAATATCATTTAGCTATTTCCACACAGGATCAGACTAGAAAGCAGTGTGTTAGATTCTGGCAAGGTAACGGGGTGTGTAAGACTCAACAATGTCTACCCAGTTTGAGTAACAAAGTGTCATGGCACCAGATGCACAGATCATATCTGTGAGTAGTGAAGTTGTTACTCCCGAAGACAAACAGATCGTTTTGGAAGCTTTTAAGCTCCAGTTATCAGAAACGCAAAACGTGTGCACGGATCTACCACAACCTTCGTTATCTTTCAACTAAAATAACTTAAAGATGCTGATAAAGTGTTTACAAACCCTTTCCTAACTTAGTACTGCACTCTTGCTGCGATGATAGATCTTAGCTTTCGAAACATTTGTGATATATTTCAAATAACACACACCATCTTAATGTTTCAGCAATAAACTAATCGTCTACTTCAACAGTTCGCAGCTGAAAATTGATAAGCTCTGAAAAGAGCCAGATAAGCACACACTCAAAAAAAGAGGTATCCCTACCAGAAACCTTTCTACCCAACTTACCTTCACCGTGAAAAGTTTTGAAGCTCAAAGCAAAAAATACCACAAAAAAAGAAAACGTTTCTAAAGACTCATATTAACCCTAACACTCCTCAGTCCTCCAACAGGTGAAGGATTGAGGAGGGTTAGGGTTAATTGATTACTTCCAAGACTGTGCTGCGTAGTATACCAGACTTATGCAAGAAAACATGCATATTCAGTTCTAGTGGTTTATATCTAACTGGCCTTTGATATATTGCCTGTTGTTTCAATGGCAATCACCTCCTCTACATTATTACATTTATGAAGTACATTTACTTGACTGCATCCCACAGGGGTCCCGAGGCTTTTTTCCCCAGAAATTTCGTTTTAGCTGGCATTAGAAATAACTAACAGCACTTTATATATCTGTTTTATTTCCACAGGGTAGCTTTGTCATTAAACAAAACGATTTTTCTTAAGGGCCCTGATCAAACTCAAAAATTTATATAAAACAATTTAAAACAAAGGAGGAAAATGAACAAACTGGGTAATAGTCCAACGGAATTCTATATGAAAATTGGATAAAATGTCAAATAGTAATCAAATCAATAGTTCTTAATTAGAATGATTAAATAAACATAAAACACATAAATAAAGGACCAGACAAGAGTGACAAAATATTTAAGAACAAAACTTCAAATGATGACACTGATGAAAATTAACAGTCTATCTCTTTGGATGTATCAGGCAGTTTGGTTTGACTGACGGGGCATTACAAATTTTCCATTAGTACTTATTATAATGACTTTGTATTATGACAAATATGGGCATGATGTGGGTAAAAAAGTACAAATGCTGAGAGTTCCATTTTGATTCACACTGTACAAGATTCTATTGAAGGCCACAAACTCCACAGTGGCTTGTGTACTTGGGCTGTTGGTCAGTTGACAGTGTTGTGCTATCAGTGGATGTATGCAGCCACCGGTCCATCTTTGACTCTGCAAGCAATTGATCACAGTGCAAACGAATGATCATGAGACAGCATGGCATTGTGAGCCGAGAGTGGAGATCCACCCATTGGGCCAACGACTTTCTCTGATGGGTTTCTCAATCGGAGATTTCAGTTCCAGGCTGTTTCTTAGCTGTCCCATCTTCCTGTTGATCCAAAGGCGATTGCTGGAGACTCATTTGATGGCGCAAACCACAACTCCCACATCTCGTTGGTCAGTACGACTGAAAAATAAACGGACAGGCTGAAGCAATGACATCAGCAATGACATCAGCAATGACATCAGCATCTACTGTAATGAGCCAGACTTGGAGCAAAGTCAGGCAGGTCCCTAATAACATTTCCTGAGGCATTAAGAGTTTACAAAACACACCTTACAGAACATCAAGACATGAATTTTTCTTTAAGATCCCGGGCTAATCCCAGTGCCTGCCAGTGTTTTAGTCAAGTTCATCACAAGTCCAGGAGTAATGAGCAGTGACGAAGGAACAGCTCATTGGAATAGTCTGTAAAGTGAATTGGCTAGACACTGGATGATCTGTGATGGACTTGTCGGTCGTGTGGTGGACTCGACAACAATGCTGGTGCCTGCTCCACATTCCTACATACTTGTCTGTCCTTCTTGAAGGTTGATTTCCAGCGTCTCACATAATTCTTCACAAGGGGCCTTGGGTCTGAGCTGAATCAGGTAGGTGCCTCTAATCTGAGCAAACCAGGTCAAGTCGTCGCTTGTATAGTAAATCTAAAAAAAAGGCAAACAATGTGAACTTACAGTTAAGTTCACCTTAAGTTTCTTAAATACAGTGTCTATGAAAGATTAACTTTTTGGCCTGCCTGAGAGAAAGGTTGATACCGAACAAATTTACAGGGGATGCAGAAAGGCCAAGGAGTGTTGGAAACATACAGAGCAAGGGCTAAAACTGATATCCTCATTCCATCTATCCACCCGAGAGGGATTTGAACCTGGGTCACTGCAGGGTAAGATTCAGTAACTACTACTGGGTCAATCTCGCTCAAATGCAATGTCCCGGTGTCTCTTCTTACCAAGAACTCTTCTGACGATTCAGACCGACCAGACGAGAAGGCCACAAAATTCTCGAGGGCCGATTCTACCATCGGCGGGAGGAAGTAGGGCCGATAGTAGAAGCTGCGAAAGACCTTGATGGCTGGCAGCTTACAGTTAAGCCTAGGGAAAACAAAAGACTGCATCTTAAGAACCATAAATCTGACAGAATGCCTCGGCAACGTGTTTTTTTTTCTCTTTCAACAAAGAGGGAGTCAGTTCATTCCGGAGACACACTGCTCATTCCTAATATTCTGTCAAATTCAACCAAACACGGTTGACGTAGCCATTTGCTTTACTCACCACATGGCATGGAAGGGGCAATCGCTACATCTCAATATCTCAGCCAGTCTTTGACTGTTGCTTTCTTTATATTCACAGACGTCATGTGACCTAAGGACCTCGTTTGTCGTATACAACTGAGGAGAAAACCAAATTTGACTCACAAACAGTGTGAGGGTAAAAGGACAAATGCAGCACACACGTTCAACCTAACACTAAAATAAACAGACTTTGTCCTTAAACGTGGAACATTTCAAGTCCTACCAGACTCCCAAATGAAAAATCTACAATCAAAAGTACTACATTCTTTCCATCCCTGGAGGTGCTACTTGCCAACTAAATTAGCTCAAAAGGGCATCCTATGGAACATGAAGAAATCTGATCACGTGACCAGTGCTGCAGTTGAGACCATCACAACACCAGACACCAGATCAAGCACAAGAAAAGTCAGAAGACCAGTCACAAGTAACAGGTTGAACAATGACAAAGGAATGCTTTTGTTGCAGTTGATTTGATAGGCTTGTGACTTGAATTCAGACTGGAGGTCTTGTGTTGGTCCTGTATGGTCTTGTGAAGGTCTTAGGTAGTCTCAACTACAACGCTGCAAGTGACTTTAAATGCCAACTTCAGTGAAACCTAGCAGAGATGAGGGTCGTCTGTCAAATGTATGACTTCACACTCTGGCTAGTTTGGTGACGATATCAAAATGATGTGTCTGAAGTTTGCACCCACATTTGATGGGAGGGCACATAGTTACAACAAGGTGCTGATAGAGTTTAGGAAACTGCAAATGGAGATCCAAATGGCTAATGAGGCTTACAGTGTGACTATGAAAGTTCAAATAAATTTTTTGTAAAAAAACCAATATGATGCCCACGTTTTTAAAGGAGTCAAAGTTGAATTCTTTGAATGCTTTCCAGTTCTGGGTGGCATCCGTCACAATGAATGGAATATTGTCAAACAGGTAATCCTCGGTGATCTCTTTGATACTGATGTTGTGCACAACATCCAGTTCGTCGTAGGTCTCACACACCTGTTATGGAGGACAAAAAATCCCAAGATGAGAAAATTGCAACAATAGTGGTGAACAGTGATTCATTTGAAATTAACCCCAACCCAACCAAAATGGAACAAGGTGCAAGTTTGCTAATCAGAGGCACTTTGTAGCATTAGGCCGTCAACAGCAGCATTAAGCGCCAATTTACTGAGAGAAAAGTGCTCGTCCCACTGAACAATGTCACTGTTGTGGATCTTGTGGTGGCTGGTAGGCTGGGACTCAGAGGCAGTTCAGCCATGGGGAGAGTTGACTAGTTGGCCCTGGCTCCACTGAGCAGGCTTTTCACTTTGACAACCCATGGAAGTTGTTGGGTTAACAAACACATACATCCATCACTAGCCATCCACTCTCAAGTCACAAGGTATTCCAATGAACAGGGACAAAAACAGTCCTTTGTTACTGGCGATCGGCCTTGTGGAAAGACTTGTAATAGACTTGACCACAAGTCATCAGAAGGGCGCTTTAAACGTCAACATGAGTTAATAACGGCACAAGGGCAAGAAATACTTCTTGGCTGTAACACGATGGCGTGGAAGCTTGAATTCCATTGACTGTCTGGGAGCAGCAAGATGTTTCTTTGGCCCTCTGAAGGACAGCACTGCTAACAGCTGATGTATTTATGGCCAAAATGGGCAAACGTTCTGTATCCAACCACCATGTACTTGCCATCAAAGTAATTCCACATTACCACATATAACTCAGCCTTGAAGATAAGTCCATTCAGCTTGGGAAAATGAAATGGTCTGAAGACAAGTTTCTTAAGGGTCATATTCAGGGGGGAGTCAGGTTAGTGTAGCGGTTCTTTCCTTGCCTTCCACCTCTTTGGCCCGGGTTCGAATCCTGGCTCAGTCCAATCGTGGATATGGTTTTCAGTCCCTACTTGATTCCGTGGGCTTTACTCAGAATATTCCTCTGGGGTTTTCCTCCCGCCTCTAAAACTGTAACTGCTTCTCACCGTCTCTTCCCTACACGCTGCTTCAGGCTTATGTGCTACAGTACCTAGGGCACTTTTTGGGAATCCTTGGTGTCATTACCAGAAATGATTACTAATGAATAATAACAATATTACTGTTGACGTCATTATTATTACTCGAGAATCCAGATGGCTGGATATGGAAGTACAATGACCAGTGCTGTTTTCTCACCTCGCAATCTTCTTCAGTAAGTTTCTCTACCACCATATATGGGTTAGCGACGATGCACTCTTCATGGTACAAATTTGTCCAGTCCCAGTATGGTAAAATCTGAGGGAAAAAAAGGAAGTCAAAATTTGGGTCAATCTTTGCTCAGTCTTAGTTGATGGCTACTGCAGGATTTGTTAATATTTCTGCCGTCAGCAAAGTGCCTCTTTGTACCAACTCACCACATTCGCAGCTGTGAAAGACTGTTTTGAAAAAATGGAAGTAAAACTGCTTACCGTCGTTTTCTTCAGGATTGACCAATCCAGAGCAACACTAATTTTCCCTAAAAACATTATAACAGCCATCAAAAAGTGATAACAAGTCCTAAAAAGTAAAATTTAGCTAAAAAATTCAGAGCATTTACTGAGAAAACATGTTTTCAGACATGTTCCAGGTTTGTGCAGAAGGGCATCAAATGTGTTCCATATGGAACTCTTTCTCAATCTTGCAACAAGAACAGGCAATCATGTCGATTAACCATTGCAACCAACCATAATAAATCCAAACCGCTTGTTCTTTGGGTGATAAAAAAGTAGGCTTTGGCTTGATGTTATCAAATGACATTCAATTATTTCACTTTTCATGGCTTTACCACGCCCCCTTTGATTTTACCTTCATCTGGAACGTTTTCCCAGCCACCGACAACCACCGGAATGTCCATGCATTCTGCAGCAAAAAAGCTACCAAAGTAACAGCGACCGTTACAAATAAAACCTTTTTGGTCAATGTTTGAAAACTGGAGGAGTCTTCATGTTTTTGTGCTGCGGACAAGAGTAGCTTCGCATCTGCGGCGACTTGCTCTGAGTCGAGGCCAGCAGACTCGCAGTAATCCACAACTTCTTTTAAGTCTCTGTCGATAGCCTCAAGGCTGTCACTTTCTGCCATGTTTCCTCGTTGAGTCAGTTATCTTGTGTTTCGATAGACACCTGCAACAGTAGTATATCCCGTTTGATGAGTTTGTTTGCATTACAGTACTAAGAAGAAGAAGATATTTGGTGTAAATCTACGGCTACTTTTGAATTGAAGAGCCACTGGAGACAAAACGAACCTTATTAACCATAAAAAAGAGACGTGGCAAGGTGTCATTTGCACTGAATTATAAATAAAGACTTTAATTACAGACTTTATTTACAAAATTATAATTCAGTGGTCACTTGCGGAAATGTTGAGAGCGCCCTCAAGAGGCCAATAATGCCCGCGTATGCATTGAGGAAAACACCACATACAACTACGGAAGAATTTCCTATAAAGCCTGGTTGTTAGACTTTGTTCGAGTAGTTCCAAGGTACACGTACGGCTTTAGTACAGCTATTTTCATATCTCCATCTGTATTCTAAAATGATTGCTCACCAAAGCCGATGCGCAAACACCCTGAACTATCAGTGAATAAGCATTTCAATTTGCTCTTCGCAAAAAACACAAACGCATGTGCATGCATGCGCTGCACCTGAATTTTGTCATGACGTTTTTTAATCACAGTCTATCGGTGCCTATCGGTCTATGCGTACGACACCTGCCACTTCAGAGCAGTCAAGTCCTTTAACACCAAAAATATAGCGCCGCGCATGGGGAATGACTTTTTAATTTAGCTGAACTTGTTCATCAAAAGACAGCCATTGAAAAACATGCATACAAAATCAGACGCCTTTGCTTGAATGTTAGGGAAACATTCATTTTAAAATACATTATAATCAGCTATAGATGTGAATTAACATGTGCCATTGCCCAGTGCGTGTGCATCTTATTCAAAAGACGCACTAGCTGACATTCGCGTATGTTGTATTGATTGAGCGTTGCAGTAGAATACACAATTCGATATTCTATCTGATTTTGAATGTTCTACAAGCACGCACATGGATTCAAAAAGTCTACGCCCAGGAGGGCGTCAATTTTCTCTGCGCGGAGACTGAGAAGTTAGCGCAAGAGCTCTCTGTGTACAAATTGAATCGTCAGAGTGGAGTTAGTGTCGGTGTTAATTGGCTGGAAAAAAGCCTAATAAAAAAGGGCATTTTGGGCTCCCTCATATGCATGGAGTTTATCATAGACATTATTGTCAGCGTTATTGCGAATAACGGAATAACGTCGCCCCGTACCATAAGCCTAGATAGAGTCCAGAAGAACGCAAAATGTCAGGTGCAGCCATTTCAGTGAAGAAGAAGCGAAGGCTTGGGAGTAAACCGGAGGTAGAATCTTCGCAAACATCTCCGCCCAAAGATTCCAAGAAGCTGAAACGAGCACAAGAACCCACTGCAGTGCAGGTTCGATTGTGTACATGGTGATAGGCCTACACAGTCAGTGTATCACAATTCACATGGTGAAACACGACACGGCCTAGGGCTTAACGATAGCGCGTGCATTTCCGACATCATGCTTATGATAAAGTAGTTCAGCTCTGTGGGGCAGAAAATAAGGTTCACATTTTTGAAGGGGGGCATATTTATGATACTGTATTATACCCTCAGAATAATTAACTGCCAGGGGAATTACAATAAGCTTCTCCATCCCCTGCCCAAGGAGCCAATTGTTTTTGTAGAAAACTTGAAAAAGGAAAGACATTTTTTTTCCATTTCGTTCCCCATCAAAACGTGTCTGTAAAGGGCACTGAAAATGTAAGTTTTACTCTAAGGCTGATGTGCTTGATGGTATAGTCGCTGCCCAAATCTGCATTTGAGCCTAAATCTTAACAATCACGTATTTTTGTTTCGTGGCTATGACAAGATATTTTGGTACATCTTCTTCCATTTCGATGTGGTTTATTCTTCCTTGATGTAATGATGTATTTCTGATGATAAATTTAATTTGGCCATGCTTAGGTGGCGACTTTAGGGCCGCATGTGTGTCAATTCACCATTACATTAAATGTGCCTGTTATTCTTGAAAATCAATAGTACAGTTAACAACTTCATACTTTTTAGTTTAATCGGTGCAAACGCTTTGACACTCCTCTAGGAAAACGGAGGGGGAACTATATTACAGAAGCCAAATGATGAGTCGTGTGTATTGCTGTGGGTGGAGCCTCATTTTCATTCATAAAACCCTGGGCAAATAAATTGCACCCTGTGCCACAGCCATGGCTCAGTCTTGGCAATACCAGCGAGTGAAAATCTTGGTTATTTGAGTTTAGCATGGGACAAAGTCATATTTTGAGGGAGGGGAACTAGTAGGAAGTAAATTTCACAAAGGGAACCACAGTTCTGATGGGGATTATGGTTAGAGAAAAGCCTACTTGCGTATGGCATGTTTTTGGGCGTGCATGTACATGTACTGATACGCTTACATCGCATGGTCTGCCTCATTAAAAATATGCGCATTATAATTTTTCGCCAGCTGCCTTAATTTCGCCAGGCATCAAAGTTTCACCGACCACAAAGTCACCCCAACAAATTACAGCATTTTAAATAAGATTACACTTGGAAAATCCTATCTACTGCCTCTTCAAAAGGATCTACTTACATAGCGGAGTAAAGTTGAAGAAAAAATTGCAACGCAACTGTTATAGGACCTAGGTGGGACCAAACTTTGAATGACATGCAGTGCGCAGGTTCATGCCGTTGCCTGAACGGTCGGAAGAGTTCATTTCCTTATGCAGGATTGGTTGAGGCAGGAAAACGCTATGCAAAGCGTGAGGTCAGAATAACCTACTGTAATTGGTGAATCAGTAGGCAGACTTTTTATCATAAAATCTGTGACCTTAAATAACAACTGATTAAGACATACAACCATTCTTTGCTGCGGGGGCAACCATAGGGATGTGGTGACCATACCAACATGCACGTTACAGTAAAAAACTATCCAACTTTTTGGGCCTGTCCTCCTTCCCCCACCCAAATGTTTGGTTCTGGATCTGCCCTTATGCAGGTTGGCGTCCGTTAATTGATTAATTGTGGTGTGGAGTGACAGTGATTGATGAAAATAGCTACAAATGTCTCCTACATGTGTAAGGTGCTCTATGAGAATTCAGAGGTGCCAGTCTGGGTTTGAAACCGGAATATTTCAGTTTGGCAAAAAAACTACATTTTTGGTCCTAGTTCTCTTGCCATTTATCCAACAGGAGTCCGCTGGTGTGTCCATGTACAGTGAGGAACAGGAAGTGTTGAAGCGTGATGGCCAACAAGACCTGGAACTCCATCGCAGCGAGTGCGCCAAGCTACGCCAGATCATGGAAGAAATTCAGTCTGCCAAACAGAGCGGTGCTGAAGATAAGGTTGGTAGTATCCACAAACTCATATTTGAACAGTTGAAATCAGGTACAACTTCTGGGCTGAATGCATCACAGCCTTTTAGGTATTTTGAAATAAAAAATGTGACCTGTCATGACAAAATGAGCATAAAGTCGCATCCTGCTGTTTCCTATTTGGAGGGTTCAAAGTCATATTGAAGTGGACGCCATTTAAAAAAAAAAAAAATCTGGACAGAGTAATCCATGTCCTACATGTATGTAAATATTTCGTAGGATCATATATTTAAAAATTTCATTTTCTCAGAACTTCTTCTGATAGCATTATTTGTGCCCGGTCAGAAATGTTGAAACAGTGTCAGAAACAAAGACACAAAGCTGCCATGATAATGTCTCTTCGCCTCACCCTAAGTGTACCATGTGCAGACCCTTGGAAAGCTCCCTTTGTGCTGAATTCAAAAGCACCAATATCTCAATTTTTTAAAATTCTGACTTTCAGCTCATTTTTGTGTTGACAAATCACAAATGTTTTGCCCAATTCACATTCTGTAATTTTGATTTGCAGTTTTGATGCTGGAACGTTTTGACAGAGTCTCAAGGTGCCACATACCGCACTTGTTCAAGATAGATGGGTTCTCTGTCATGTTTACAGTTTATTTTAAGTTGTATATTTCTTCAGATAACCAGAGGTGGGAAATGTTTTGTCAAGAACAAGGAAAAAAGCTCCAACTGTGAAAATGGCTGTTCCCTTTTTTGTGTGTTTGGGATGGGTTTTTCATTCAAAAGCTAAGATTTCAGGCTTCAGAATTGAGATTGAGATTGCTATCTCTTATCATATAACCAATAGAAAGCTTCAAGGTTTGCCTCAGTGACACAAAGGCTCTTCAGTGTCTTTCTCTGTGGAAAATGCTTAGCCAATCAACACCTTTCGGAATCTTTCTTTGTGGGAATCTACCATTGAACTCTTTAATTACATTTTAACCAACAGAAGAAAATCTCATTATTTTTTATCATGTTTGACAGTGATACGACTTGGATTTTACAGTAGAAGGGCCAAAAGTTGCAAAACTTACAAATAAGAAGTTTTGTTCCAAAAATCATCAGGGATTGGTGGTGTTAGTGTTCCAGCTCATGAATTTTAAATTAAAGCCAAAATTTTAGCTATATGCATATTAACCGTCCTATGCTGAAGTCACTCTTTGGGTCAATTAATCAGCCGCACAAAGATGCACCGCTGTGTCGTGTTGTGCACTGCACCAACTACATGTATCCTACACAGGAATATCAGATTGCACTTTGTGCTGTCCAACAACTGTGCTTCACTGTTTCATGTGCCTCATTGTACAGTAAACCAAATGCAGTGAAGAGGACTGCACAAAAGACCCTGGGTCATTTTGGGCTGGCAACCAACTGTGTACACACTGAACCTGTGCATGTTTGAGTTCCTTGTCAGCACAAAATGACCCAGGGTCTTTTGTGCAGTCCTCTTCACTGCATTTGGTTCACTGCACAATGATGCACATGAAACAGTGAAGCACAGTTGTTGGACAGCACAAAGTGCAATCTGATATTCCTGTGTAGGATAGTTAGTGCAGTGCACAACACGACACAGCTGCGCGTCTTTGAGGTGTTCACCAAATGACCCAAAGAGTGACTTCAGCATAGGAGGGTTAATGTGCTACTTTTTATGCTGTGCTCAATAGAGTGTCTGTTTAACCAACTGCTCATTGCTGTAGCCAAAGTTTAGTGTCGGTGGCAGCTGAAGAGTAGAAACCAGAGTGTGACTTGGTCTGTTTTTCTACCCCCAGGATGAGTACATAGCCAGCAGACGCATGCAAGCCTCACTGCATTTCATCACCCTGAAGAAGCTGAACCGCGTGGCCCACCTGCGCTGCAAGGCGGTGCGGGAGACCACCATGGGGGGCAAGCAGCGGGTGGACAGCCTGCACCTGCAGCTGCAGAACCTGCTGTACGAGGTCATGCACCTGCAGAAGGAGATCAAGAAATGCCGGGAATTCAAGTACGACAGCGGCAGTTCTTGAATTTAAACCTGTATCCTGCCAACCGTCATAACAAATTATTTTGAATTTCTGTTTTTATGTCCATAAATTTTGAAGTTTGTTAAAGTTTCATGCCTCACGTTTTGTGATTTGGAGTTCTGACACAAACGTTAAACTCATTTTAATAGTTTTAAAACTTCAGCAGAATTTAACCTACTGTTTACTTTGAAAACAAAGAATGAGATATCTTCATCGTTGTAATGGAAGATTAGCGATACACGTATCATATTGGGGCGCATTTTGCCTTGCCAGTCTTTTTTGTAAACTTGCATGAAGGTTCTGCAATTTAACATTTTTTCTGTTCCGCTATTGAAACAACTAACCAATGTGGGATGTATTTGGTGGGCAGCAATTTTGATATTTCGGGACAACACCCTCAATTTTCAGATCCAAGGATGAAGACATTGAGCTGGTGGACGTTGAGACTTTCTACCGTGAAGCTCCGTCGGAGATCTCGGCCCCCCATGCCACCAAGAAGGACCCTCACAAGCAGCGGTTGGCCAGGCTGGACTGGGAGCTGGAGCAGAGGAAGAGGTCAGGGAAAAGATTGGATTGAAACTTTGCACATACCTAGACACCTGCATGCTTGACACCTGTGCAAAGCTTAAACACATTTGGACAAAGCACTTTACGCTGAAGACCATTATGTATTTCCCACCATTGGTACATCAGCACTTTTCCTATGAACAGCCATTGAATCTTTTCATTATCAGTGCTTCATTTAAATTTTACCAAATCGGTGTCAAATAGGCTCAAGAAATTTATCAACAAATCCAACGGTGCCCTTCCGTCCCACTCCTTCCTGCAAGTTTCATGCTTGATACTGGAAAGATTGTATGGAGAGGACCAAACTAGGGTCACAGCAGATTGCGTTAAGGAAGTTTCTTTCTTTTTTTTAATTTTCAGGCTAGCTGAGAAGCTGAAAGACTGTCAGAGCAACACCGATATCCTGGCAAGAGAGATAAACACCAAGGAGGAATATCTGGACAGCCTCCAGCCACAGCTAGCCACCATCCTCCAGGTAATTGGAATCTTTGGATTAATCCTAATACTGTAAGAAGTCTGTCGTCCAGTTTTGAACCAAGTCAGAAGTTATTTAGATAACTGTGACTGAGCCACTTGTGACTGGGCTTTGTCACGGGACTTGGGGAAGGACTTTTAGTTGACTTGTGTAAAGACCTCCGATGGCCATGACTTTAGCCCTGACCCTAAGCCCCTTGTTCCCTTTGCAGAAAACTTTCTGAATCTGTGTATGAACAAAACATCTGCTAACCTTGTCAGCAAGCTGTGATCTTTGACCCTCCATTGATCTCTGGTATGCTGCCAATACCTCCCCAAGTGGTAGAGTAGATTTGCCTACTCACATTGCAATTTATATTGACTTTGTCACTGTCCTTTGATCTGTAACCTATGACCTTTCTTACCATCCACCAGGCCACCATACCTGTTCAGGAGTACCTCTCCATGCCCATCCATGAGATCCGTGCCCAGCACCAGACTGCCAAGCTGTTACCTAGACCACTCTACATCCTATATGTCCAGGCCAGTGCCTACCAGGAGGCTAGAGGTAAGGCAGTAGTGCGCCCTCTGTTGGCAAATGAGATGTTAGTAACATGAGAACAGAGATGGGTATTGTTCTGAGTTGGGTTTCGGCACTTGCACATGTGGAATGATGGTAGAGCCAAGTAACCTAAATGCACAACTTATGCAGTTGAAAAGTCATTTGCGTTTGGGGGGGGCAGTGTGCATTTAAGGAAACTGACTTCAACCCGGTTTTGCTTAATAATTTGGAATCATTCAAAGTAATTTGCTGTGTCATTTGAAATTGAGAAGGTGAAGGGATTATTGATCTACCTCATGAACCTTTGGTTGAAAGTTTTTGAAGCTGAAAGAAGTTGTGAAAATTCAAACTTATGAAATTTATGCAAGTTGAACTTACAAAACTTGTGGAAATTGATGTTAAGTTACAAGAGCTGAAGTTACTAGGTTATAACACAAGTTATAGAAGTTGTAGAAGTCGACACTCAGCGTTTCTGTATGACAGTCAGCAACTCTTTGGTTTCTGCTAGATTCCTCCATGTCCCTGAAGATTGAAGGTGATAAAGATGCTGTGATTTCTGCTGGCTCTGCGTCACCTGTCATTGAGGAAGAGAGCGACTCCGATAATGAGGAGAGTCTTACTCAATCGGTAAGAAAAAAATAGAGTTTTGGTTAAGAAGACAATGTGTTGCATAGGGAGTTTATCAGTTACTTTCCTGTTATCACTTTCCTAGGACTCTCATCTTAGATCAAAACAGGTATCAAACTTTACCATACAACCTGAATGGTGGGCTGAAGTAACTTTGCTCTTCACAAGCACACCCTCTATAAAAGTGACTATTTACACTGTTTTGGAGGGAGCGTACTTCCAAACTTGTTTTCAAGGAGGAAACGGAGATGACTGAGGATTATGAAGAAATTTCTGTCCTGGATGAATTTTTTTACGGCAGAAGCGGCGGCGGAAGACGATTGGAAACAAGCTGGAAGAGAAGAGACAGAAGTTACTGGCCAAGCACCCTCTGCAGGTCGTCATGACCCTGAAGTTTAAGGGTAAGACCTTGTGGTCTGTCCAAAGAATCTGTCCAAATAATCTGTCCAAAGAATCTGTCCAAAGACTCTGTCCAAAGAATCTGTCCAAATAATCTGTCCAAATAATCTGTCCAAAGAATCTGTCCAAAGAATCTGTCCAAAGACTCTATCCAAAGACTCTGTCCAAAGAATCTGTCCAAAGAATCTGTCCAAAGACTCTGTCCAAAGACTCTGTCCAAAGGCTCTTTTGAGTGAGAGTTGATAATGATCTATTTGAACATTTAGAAACCTAATAGGACCAGAGAATGTGGCATCTTGGTGTTATGTTACACAGTCAAACGTATAGTTCAGTTATTCGGATTACTGGACATTTGTTGGAATAACTGAGGTTTAATCCATAGATGGGACCCTTTGGTTGAAACCACACCATTTGTTATTTGGGCCATAAGTTTCTCACAACTTTTCTGGCTAAGCAAATAAATATCAGCTGGGGAGGAGTCAGAAGCAGAGTACGTTCCTGGTTTAATTTTTCAGTCATTTCTTCTTTCCTTTCCAAACTTCTCTGTGTTGATTTACAACTTGTACTCGTACCTTATCACCCTTTCTCCCTCCCCTTGCCCCTGACTGTCTGACCTGTTATTTGGGTCTAATCTTCTTATCCTCTTATCCACAGACGGCTCAGTGTTGACATTGACTTTCTCCTACCTGACATCGCTTCACATCGTCACGGTTGGCGTCGACTTGAAACTGTCTCCTGTGGCTAAGACCCCTGCAGTTGCTAGGTTGGTTGATAGTGCTGAAACACATTTGTTTGACAACTCATTGAAAAGCACTCGGCAAATATTGTACCAACATGCAAGGGAGGAAGTTAGGCTGCTGTATATAGCATTCCAACAATTTTTATGATTTCTTTCGAAATGTGAGAACTGCGGACAGAATAGCTGAACATTTGATGCAGTTAGGAATTTTCTAAAAAGTAACCCTTAATACAAACCAAGATTATAGACGTTGCTTTCAAGGTGTAATGCAGCAATTGAAATCCCCATGAAGGAGCAAATGATGGATTGTATGGTCTTTGAATTATGTTTATTAACGTTCAGACAAAGTTGTTGAGACAAACAGTTTTCCTGTTAAACAAGGATTAATCTAGTCCCCTTAACCTCTGTATAAAAAGACATTTCCACCTTATCCTGTTTTGATGGAGTAGCAAGCCTTGCATTTTGGAGTAAGAGATCATCTATCATCTAGGTCACGTTTTTAATCTGCTGGGCCATTTCCACTGGAAAACTCTAGCATTCTTTTCCCGCTTATCACAACGTGGCAACCGTCCGCTTTGTGTTAGACCATTCTGAGGCAGCGTTTTTATGGGAATGCCGTATTCCAAATAGAATGATCAACCATTCCTAGAATGAGAACAAGGTGTCCCAAATGAAGATTTACTGCCCGTCCCGAAGTATGAGACATTCCATAAGCAAGACTAGACCCAACGCAGTAAAAAGTATTGCTCAGAAAACTGAAATGCCTTAAGAAAATAACAGCAGAGAACCAATCAGAAGTAATATACACGCTATTATACATTAGCTGGTAACCAGTTTTTGTTCAGCTATTACAATCTATGCTTAATAGATTTCTTTGTTTAGAAGTAAATTAAATTTTCCTCTGCCTTTCGTATTTTCATTCTTCAGCAGTGATCTCCTTTCACCTGATCAGCTGCTAAGCTGCCTCTATTATGGAGATACTGGACAAGTCTCGCCCAATTCCTCCAATGCTTACCAGTTTAGCAAACTGGGGTAAGATTCCTGAGAACAGTAGCGCATATTGCTAAGCGTGTGTGTTTCTTTTTCTTTCTTCAACAAAATTATTGTACTTGCTAGGAATTACTGGCCACCGTATTTCTCTCTAATTTCTGTGGCCGATTTCACGAAACTTTACACAGTGGTGTGACTCCACTAATGCCACATTTTGTCGCGTAAGTTGGGCAACAAATTAAGACCAATTTCACGAAACTCATGCACTGTGTAAGTCTGTGACTTACGCAACAAATTATGGCGTAACTTATGCAGTCATTTTAGGTGGCATAAGTTGCACCAAACGAAGTGAAAATGAACGATTGGACAAGCTTATCAAGTCTGGTTAAGCCTCATCATTGCTGAACTTATTCAGAATTATACGAGAAACGAACAACTTTGTTCCAGAAGGTAATAATAAACTTGTTTGGCTGTGAAAATGCTACGAAACTTTTTGTCGGTTCCGACATAGAAAAGAGGAAAACTTTTTCAAAATGGCGGGTAGATGTGATTCAAGGACTGTTTGGTGACTGCTGTTAAATTGGTAAAGAACAGCCGTTGTAAAAGCCGTTTTTGTCCTCATCCAAGAAATTTAATATTATTATAATGTGGCGCAGCTATGCAACTTTACGTGAAATCGAACGTATGCATACTGTGCAGCTAAGGCAGTTACGCCACATTTTGTGAAATCGGCTGCTGGGGCACAGGTTACCTTTTGAACTCTAAGAACCAGGCCTGCCTTTACTGCATGGATTTACTTTGCCACTCACTTTAACTGCATGGATTCTAGGAATTTTCCATAGTAGCCAGACTGGTTCCCTTTTCAATATTTAGCACTATAGCAGCTCGCTGTGCTCCATCACTTCCCAACATACATCCATGTAATACCTTTTTGAGGGAAATCACTCCTTTTACAGCATGGAGTCTCTTATCTCAAACAGGAATTTACACAGACCTTCAAAAAATTTTTCCCAGTGAAAATGAAAAGTTAGATATTATTCACTTATTGAACTCCTCTAACTGCATGGAGTCTGCATTCCACCTCACTGCTTACACTGCTGGTTGTAGTGATTCACGTCACCTGTTTATTATGCCTCCTTGTGTAGCATGGATTCCATGAGTTCCTACATCAGCGAGACAGGTCACCCATACCGCTGGGCCCAGTGGCTGGCCGGCCTGGATTTCCTTCCGGAGGACAGAGAAGAGACCAAAGCCATGACAGCTGTCAGCACTAGCCACATGGAGTCCACCCTGAAAGCTTTGAGATCCCGCACTCGGGCAAGACTGGCATTGACAAAGCAACTGACCTCTTTAGGTACGGCCAAATCGTCCAGGTCTCATTAAAGCTACATGTATTAGTGTTTTACAACTCGCATATCAAGAACATGTTAAAGATTTTACAAGCTTAGGACTCGTCCTAATTATCAAGTGTACCGCTACTTGTTTTCTAGGGATTCATTTTTGGGGAGACTTGTTGACACAGATGATTTTTTTTATATTCAGTTTCATGTTTCTTTTTACATATTTGTTACATTTCTCAGAGCATAATACGGTACCAGTACCAGCCCAGTCTGTGGGTCTGTTCCCGGCCAAGATTGCAGCCAGGCTAACATCGTGGGTGAAAATAACCAAGGAGGATTTTCAAGTAAGTTATCCTTTTTCTCTTCCGTCTCCGGCATCAGTCATTTACCAAGACAAATTCACAAGACGACAGTGTTGCATTCGAGTCCATCACCTGTCCA